GTATTATGACTGCTAGCCATCATCATCAAGATGGTTCAATAGGACTGCCGGCAGGACTGAGTCTCCAGGAGACAAAACATGTCTGCCCAGGTGCCTCTGACCGAACTCACTGAGGAATACGACGACGATGGATACCAGTCGTAATACACCATCTACTGCCAAAAGGCAAGGAGCTGCTGCTGTATAGCAATGCAGCCCCACGTCTGCCAGCACCCAGATAGCAGATGACGGCTACCAGTCATACTGCACCGTCTACTGCCAAAAGGCAATTAGCTGCTGCTGTGTAGCAATGCAGTACCACGTCTGCCGGCACCCAGATGACATATGGTGACGGTGAGCTGAGCTGAGCTGAGCGGGCTCCATGCTTGCCGTGGTATGTTGTCTGCACAGGTAACCCAGGTAAAAAGGCGCGAATCGATTGTCTGCTGTTGCTCTGACGGAGGGGGAGGGGCCTGACGACATGTACCCAGAACCCCCCGCGACACTGTTTTTGCATCATCAGGCATTGGGATCTCAACCCAGAATTCCAATGGGCGGCGGAGACTGCGGGAACTGTGGGATAGCTACCCACAGTGCAACGCTACGGAAGTCGACGCTAGCCTCGGTACTGTGGACGCAGTCTGCCGACTTAATGCACTTAGAGCATTTTATGTGGGGACACACACAATCGACTGTATAAAACCGATTTCTATAAACCCAGCTTCTATAAATTCGACCTAATTTCGTAGTGTAGACATACCCAAACTTGTCCTGGTTTAATTAACCCAGTTTAGTTAAAACTGGTGCAAATTCCTGTGTGGACACACTTCTATAAGTTTAAAACTGCTTAAATGGGTTTGGCAGGCCCCTGTTAATCAGGACTCGTGTACATAGAGTTTTTGTACTGTTACAATTATTGGTTTAGAAAAAGATAAGCAGTGCAATCTCATAATGTGGTCTAGTTATATTGGTTCAAAGATGCTTATATCTGTATAGAATATTCCTGTACATTTAGGAAAATAAACTATACCAATCTAAGAAAGCATGGTTGTATCTTTTCCCCATTTCTCCAATACTCAGAAAACAGCAGAAGGAATTTTGTTCTAACATCCATACCTCTCCCCCCAAAAATGTGACCCTGAACAAGAACAAGAGAACAAGAATGGATCATTTCAATCCAAAAAGTGAATTTTCTGGAAAATAAGAAGCATGTTAAAGCAGGGAATAATGGAAGCTATTTTGGAACCATATCCACATAGTAAGTTCTTAAATGATAATGCAGAAATCTGTATATACTTATACAGCACCTTTTCACAAACCACAGTGCCTGGTATTCTAACTAAACAACAAAAAGCACATGTATGCTAGCAAAATTCAGCTTTTATGAATGTAACAAAAAGCTTTCTAATTGAAAATAAACAGAGAAAGCACAGTGATTCTATAGATTAGAGAAACTAATGTACAGATGCTACAGCACTCCAGAAACTGGTGTTTCATTCCCAGTACCACCTGCTACAGCAAGAATAGCAATGGCACTAATTAGCAGTGATTTTCTGTATATCAATATACCAGCCAAAGGCTCCCTCCTGAAATCATGACTAATGTGGATGGTTGTAGAGGTGTTGGGATACAAGCAAAGCATATTTTCACTGTCAATATAACAGGATGGCCTGCTCCTTTAAGGACCAGGAGACCTGGGCCACTCAGATCTGTTGAATTTATGAGACCCAACTGGGAAGGGGTCAGGTGACCCCTATAAAAGGCGGAGAGGGAGTGACAATAGGGAGATGGGAGAGGAGACAGGCCTCTGGGAGCTGCAGCAAAGAGTGGGTCGAGGAACTGTTTTTGTGTTTGTTATTTTGTCTAAGTTAGAAGTTTGGAGAACAAAATGGTGCCTGTAAAAAGTCCTTCCTGGACTAGGGAGGCAGGCCAGCACCTTACACATGGGGGAGAAGACAAGCAGGTGATCAGTCCATAGAACTGAGAGGAAACATATAAAGCAGCCCTACGACAGTCAAGGTCCCACGTATTATTGAACAAATATCTGCTATTCATGTTTTTCATCATTATCATTATGAGATCAGAGCGTATACAGGGCTGGTAGATAATGACCTCCATTTCCATGAGTGGAGGGTACCCAGATCCAGTAATTTGCCCTGGGAGATACAAAGGGAGAAAGAAGCACCAACAGCATTAGCCCCCAGTGAGCGCCTCTGCAGCTGCTGTCACAATCACAGCATGACTTAACCCAAGCCATACAGACATGAGGAGGCAGCCAGCAGAGAAGCTTAGAGGATTCAGTCATCCATCTGGAAGCCTCTGCCACCACACGACTGAGGCGTCTCTCACCAAAGGATCTCCATTTCCCCTTCTACACTGCCCCAAAGCGATGGGATAATTGTAGTAAAATTCAGAGAGGTCAGCCTTGCAGGATTTGCTGGCCCCTCTAGTAGGTTTCTCTTGGGACAAGACCATCTCATGCTTTTTGCTTTATTTAGGTGAAAGAGAATGGTGGAAACATAAAAGACCAGGGTGCTGGGAGCCCAAGAAAATTCTTGTGA